AAAGCTTAGTATTTACTCCATTAATCTTAATATTTCCTAAACAAACCTTTTTAGTTTTTTGATAACAGATATTCAGATTTTTTTTTTTTTTTTTTTAGTAGGTTCAAGGAAAACAAAGGCAGCAGCTAAAAGTGAAGAAGACAAACTGGATGTGCTGGGACATGCCTGTAATCCCCCATACTCCAGCAGCTAAGACAAGAGGACTGCAAGTTTTAGGCCAGCCTGGGCAACTTAGCAAGACCTTATCTAAAGAAAAAGAAAAGAAATTTAAGGGGTGCAAATGTAGCATTGTGGAAGGTTCTGGATTCAAGCTCCAGTACAGGGGCAGGGAAAGGGGGAGGGAAGGAGGGCAAAGTCAAAGAATAAACAAAAAAAGACCACAAGTGCAGGATGTGTTCCTTTTCTATAGTTTCAATTTTGTTCATTTTCTCTTGCTAAGTTTCACATCCTTTAGCTTCCCCTTAGCTTGTGACTTTTCTTAGTAAGCTATGTAGTTTATCTTTGCCCTGAAACTTCCAAGACGATAAGAAGACACTGAAGCTGAAAACCCGAAGTTAAAGATGCAAACCGTTTTTTAAAAAATTAACGGTTGTGGCAATATTAAGTGAGATTAGATATTTTAAAAATTGAAGCCCTTTTCATTTCAAAAGGCTAATTCAATTACTGAGCTTCTGCAGTTTTCAAAGTGCATGTCGCAAGCAGTTACCGTGGGTAAAGAGGACTCGGACTGGGATGGCAATTCACACACTTATCTTATATTATCCTAATTCATTTCAATACAATTACCACACAATATTAAGTCTGCCAATTACCACGTCCCTGTACCTGTACTGCGCAAGTCCTTAATGGGAGTGCGACGTTTCCTCCCGCAGGGTCAGAGGGTCCAATCCGTAGACGAAGGGCGTCGAGTCAGCGCTAGGCTATCCGCCTCTCCGCTTGCCTCGTCCTCTGGTCTCGTCTGGTCGGCGGCGATGCTCCTCCCAGCGGGATCAGGAGTGCAGATGTCTCGGTCGGTAGTCAGATCATCAGATTGACTGGTCGACTGGTTGGTGGGACGGATCGTCGATTTGCTTGGGGTCTTCAGCTCCTTTTATACTATTCTAGCTGGGCGTTCGTGGTATTGGTTCAGACTTATCACACTGTCCAGCTTGGGGCATACTCTGCCCAATTTTCGGGGGTACGCCCTTATCAGTTCCATACCACTTAAGGTTCTACTTTCATTACTTTCATATCTTATGATTACACATCACTCATTATTGTGTTATACTTAGGTTACAGCACTCTTAAAGTCACAGCACACTTTGGGGTTGCAGCACACTTAGGGTTATACAATTCCATCTTATTCCAAGGTGTTCTCCACAGTGCAGCACTATATCTAGGGCACTTTCACCTCAAGAAACTGGAAGTTTTCCACTATCCATTTAAAGTACACTGAGGGATATGCCCATAGTTTCCTTAGAGAAATACTAGCAGTCACCGACCATGGCCTCATTCTAAACCGAGCGCAGGGCTATAGCTTTACATTTTAATCGCTTTTAACTCAGGAAGGTCGGAAGGTCAAGATCACACTGCTTTGGGAAAGGATTTAGATCCAGTCCTTGTTCTAAGTCCTTGGTTTTATACTCTGTTATGAAAAGCCTAGGCTAACCAAGAGAGAAATTGGTGTATCACATGAGGCTGAGATTGGTCAGAAAGCAGAGCCAAGGATATGCCTGAACAGAGCGAGAGGAAAGCAAGACTGGTAGGTCCCTGCAGCGGACGCCATCTTGCGAGAAAGGGGGCCGGAAGTCCCGCAGCTGGAAGCTCGCGGCCCGGCAGCTGGGAGCCCTGGGGCGGGGCCTGGAGGCGGGGAGGGGCAAGGAGTGCCCTTAAGGCTGCAGGCTGGGGGCGGAGATATAGGGCGGGGCGCGGGCTGTGTCACTCCAGGCTGGGGATGGGGCCTGAGGGCCGGAAAGGGGCTGTGCCGGGCTGACTCAAGCTAGGGGCGGGCCCGAGGATGGGGACGGGGATGAGCAGGTTGAAGTTGGGGGCGGGCCTTGGAGGCGGGGAGGGGCGGGCCCGCGGGGGAGGAGCTGACAGGGCCGCAGCGGCTTTACTCCCCCCCTTTCTCGGAACGTGACTGGGCAGCTGCAGCCGGCGCCCCACCGCGCTCCGTTGAGAGGGCTGGGGCGGGAGATGACGGTGATTTCCCCTCAGCTCAGCCCTAGGTGAGCACTCACTCCCTTCTTTCTCCTCGCTGCCCAGGGCTGCCGAGAAGGCAGATGAGCTAGGCCCCCGGGGCGCGGACCTACGGGTCCCGTCTCTGCCCGGCGGGCACCGGCGCCCCTGCCCTCCGGTCCCGCTGGCGCCCTCCGAGCCCTGCGCCGCCGCCGCCTCTGCCCGCGGCGCCCGCCTTCGGGACTCGGGGAGCACCTGGGAGGCTCGGCGCGCTGGGGCCAGGACTGTCACCCCAGGGGCAGCTCCTCGCTGCACGTGCGTCCACCTGTCAACTCCGAGCTCTTCGCTTCACCCCGTGGTGGCCTCGGCATCTGCCCCTCCCGCGGGCTTCTGCTCAGGTACCTGGACCGTTGCGCCCAGTTTCCCCCCGGCCCTTTTTGGAGCCTGTGAGTTACGTGACTGATGTTGTGACCGTCGTGCCCACGAAGCCGAGTGGACCTTTCCCCCTCATCCCAGGTTGCCTTTCCCAGTTGTACGGCTGCCTTCCCAGGCGTCAGGTGGCAGCCGCTCCCGGCGATCCATTTCTTTAAGGGGCGATCTGCACCTTACTTATCTCAGAAGACCAAAGTCTGCCTCTGTAGACAGGGAAGAAGGCAGTGCTGGGCGCTCTCCACCGCGGGTCCCTGGGGAGGACGCAAGTTTCCCAGCGCGCAGGTGGGAGTGGATGAATGGGGACTGTTGAGGCTGAAGAGTGCTTTCGTAGTGTCTCGCTGCATTAGGCTTTTCCCACGGGATAAGTGAAAAAGATGGTGTTGTGAGCAACAGACAGTCTAAGAATTTAACATTTTTCTTTAAAGTTATCACCCTCCCATTTTCACTTAATAGCAGTTGTTTATGTCAGTGGTTTGTTGATAGGATCTTAGCCCAGTGTGAAGTGGCCAGACATGGTTTTTATAATATATCATTTCTCCAGTCCCTGCCCCGGTGAACGGTTTTTACTGTGACGGGTCAGATTGTTCTGTATCAAGCCTGATTTTTAAAGATGAAAATTGGATATAATTTTTTTAACTTCCCTGCCGTGCTTCCTGTTCATTTGAAAATATGCTTTAACAAGCATTTTTGTGTGTGTTTAAAATAGACTAGGATGAGGTAAAAGTTGTAAGTTTTGTTTTGATGATTTTGACTTTCAATTAGCAGTTGTTTCTTTCATAAAACTGAAAAGCATTAAAAGATACCTCTTAGGAAGGAGCAGATTACTTTTCAGAGTTTTTCTTACGGTTTTCAATTAATTGAAAGTTAAACCTGGGCCAGGGATGTAGCTCAGTGGCACAGCGCCTGCCTGGCAAGTGCAAGGTCCGGAGTTCGATCCCTGGTATAAAAAAAAAAGAAGAAAGAAAGTTAAACCTGGGTATTACTACAGCTATTTGACCATCACCTGGAGAAAAGAACTGTCCTTTCCCTGTTAACAACTATCTTGGGGGGCCAGGGATTTAGCTCAGTAGTTCCGCTGTCTGCTTTGCAAGCGCAAGGTCCTGAGTTCGATCCAAAAAAAAAAAAACTATTTTGGGGCCAACTAAATTAAAATCAACTCCTGTTGTTTGTTATAAACCAAATATGGATAACTTTGTAACACATCTTGTCCCTCTATTTTAGTGGGAAGACAATGGATTTTATTTACTGTTACCATTCTTATCATTATTAGAACTACAGCTTCTAATAGCAATTGCTACTATTTCTTGAAGGCTTATTTGTGATATGCTATGCATATCCTATCCACACAATCTCCCTGTAAGGGTGTTTTTGTTGTTTTGTTTGTTTGCTTTGTAGTACTGGGTGATTGAATCCCAGGACCTGTGTTTTGTTTTGGTTTGGGTTTTAGTTTTTTGAGACAGAGTCTCACTGCATAATTACAAGCTGGCCTTGAACTCTTGGTGATCCTCCTGCCTCAGCCTCGAACCACTATGACTGGCTTGAATCCTAGGATCTCTGTACTGAGCTACATCCCCAGCCCCACCTTACCCTGCTCCACCCCCCCACCCCCCCCCCCCGACACACATACCCCAGGATCGAACTCAGGACCTTGCACTTGCCAGGCAGGTGCGGCACCACTGAGCTACATCCCTGGCCGACTTTGCTTTTTCTGAGATAAGATCTCACTAAATTTCTAAGTTGCCCTGGCTGAAATAAAACTTTTGACCCTCCTGCCTCAGCCTCCCAGTGTAATGAGATTTCTATTCTAATTTTACAGCTGAGGAAACAGCACAATAAACTAACCCAAGGAGTTGATAAGCATTAAGGCCCAGAATCTGTTACTCTCTTCACTGACATTACTAATTGAATAAGCTGTTGGTTAAAAAGACATCAGAAGGCTAGACTAGTTTATCACTTTTTTTGGAGATGGTCTATGCAGTCCAGGCTGGCCTTGAACTCCACAGCAATCCTCCTGCCTCAGCCTCCCAAATGCAGGAATTATAGGTGTGCACCACTATACCCAGTTTACACCTTTACCACTGCCTTTCCAAAGCCACATTTCCTAAGGGCTCCAAATGTTTAACACCTTTGTTTAATTGTTTACCAGCTTCTTCGGGTATAGGTATTAGTACCAACTAGAAGCTTTCCCAGGATATAATTTGATGCTTATTTGGTAAGCTTCAAGTATGTGAGTATTGTAGGTTTTATTTATAGTAGCCACTCCTATCTAATCCTGATTAAAAAAAAATACTTGTCCTAATCCAGATTACATGTAAGGTTTTTAAGTGGTTTGGTTTAGATCAGGAGCATAGAGAAGACTCTTACATGCCTCCCTGTATCTGTGGCCAGCCATTTGAGTCTTTTTAATGTGATGTGGGTGTTTTGAGAACATAACCAGGGCATTGTAGGTTTCAGGAAGAATGAACATTTTTAATGTTCTACCTTAGATAAAACCACTTAGATGGTAAACCAAGAATAATTACTTAGAAATTGGCAATTGTCACATATGAATTTCAAATTACTAATAAAAGCTGATTCACCCTCCCACCCCCTGCGCCAAGAATTTTTAAAAAAGAGAGAGAAAAAAAGCTGATTAGTTTCAGAGTTGCTTAAAGCTCAGGTTCATCAATGAGAAGGGAATCTGATAATTACTGTCATCATTAACATACAGAATTTGTTCCTTGCTTTAGCATTTTCTGAACATCTTTAGAACATTTTACAACATATTTTGTGTTCTTTAACAGTTTATGAATATCTTTAGAACATTTTAGGACACATTTTGTACTCTTCGACCTGTTGCCATAGTGAAAATTTTAGAATATTATTCAGGGGGAATAATTGTCCACGAACTAGATAATACCTGAAGAAAACATTCATCTATGAAAGGCTAGTTAAGTGCAAGTTATTATTTAAGTGATTCATTAAATTTTTTTTTTCAGCATCTACTGTTTGCCAAGTATTATGCTAAATGTTAGGGACACAACAGTAAGCAAAAATGTACAGAATTGTTACTTCTGTGACATTTAAAGTCTAGTGATGGAGACAGATATAAATCAAATAGTCACTCTAATGCATAGTATAATTACAAATTGAGAAATAGTGGCTATTTTGATTCTATTTGAGCCTGGCTAAGGGATTCAAGAAGCCTTACCTGATAAAATGACTGAACTATGTGGTTAAGAGGATGAATAGTTATTGTGTAGAAGGTGGCAGATGGGTGGGTAAGGAACATTTTAGAGTGAACTGCATGTGCAAAGTCCCTGTGGCATAAAAGGACTATCAGGCCATTGCGTGTGCTTGTCTGAAAGGAACTAAGAGTAGGTTGGTAGAATGCTATTGTGTTCTCTTTGTCAAACTATCAAAGGTTGCATTTAGCTTTGGATAAGTGATCACTGTGTGCTGATGTAATTCTAAGGACTTTACTTGAATAACCTCAAGTTTCTATGAGGTAAGTACCACTATTGCCATTTCACAAATGAAGTAAGGCATAGAAAAGTTAGTTATTTCAAATTTGATAAGTGATACTTTACTGTATTGTTTTTCCTTATACTCAAGTATGATCACAGGGTGGAAGGGATGCCCTGGTTCCAGAGTGACTCTGATGTATCCTGAGAACATCTTTCCAGAGAATCTAGATGCAGTAAGCATTCAGCAGAGACCTTGTGGGCCCCATGCTCTTATCCGCTAGATGGAGCTTAATTGTGGGTCACTGGAGAGAACATAGGGCATCACTGCGGCTGCACTATTTCTGGATCTAGTTTTACTCACATCTCATACTGAATGTAAAATAGCAACACAAATATTTTGAGCTGGCCTGCCTTTGTGAGTAAAGAGACTATTGTTGGCAACCCCCCACACACACACATTTTTTTTTCCATTACATTTTCCTCTAGTGGTAGTTGAAGAAAGTATGTATCTTTATTTTGCCATTTAATAAGTAAATAAGTCTAGATTTGCAGTGGTTCAACTAGAACTCTTCTTAACACATTCAATCTTCTTTTCTTCTCTTTCCAGAGATCCAGTTGGAGTTGAAGAAAGAGAAAATGGCTTCTTTTTCTAACTTATCTGTAAAGAACTCAACCACTGCAGTCAATATGACTGAGACTTTTTCCACAACAGTAACGCATGGATTTAATTCCACTAAGGACTCACCTTCAATGTCAATAACAAGGCTTTTCCCAGCCTTATTAGAATGCTTTGGCATAGTCCTTTGTGGCTACATAGCAGGAAGGGCCAATGTCATAACATCAACACAGGCCAAAGGACTGGGAAACTTTGTCTCCAGATTTGCACTTCCAGCTCTATTATTCAAAAACATGGTGGTACTTAATTTCTCCAATGTGGATTGGGCTTTCCTGTATAGCATCTTAATTGGCAAAGCTTCTGTATTTTTCATTGTCTGTATATTAACCTTATTGGTTGCCAGTCCTGATAGTCGATTTAGCAAAGCTGGACTGTTCCCTATTTTTGCTACTCAGAGTAATGACTTTGCATTGGGATACCCCATAGGTAAGTTATTTGTTATTTTTCAAGTATTTAAAAAATTGAAGTATTTTAGAAGGTAACAAATACAAGCTTTTATTTATCTAAGCATCTCTTAATGGCAGATTATTATTATTGTAAGAAACCTTTCTTCTTTGTTTTTCTTAATATGTCTTCAACTTCAGAGATTAGGGATCCTTCAAACATCTACCTAAAACAAGTATTCATATCCTAGTTACCTTTGTGAAATCTTGCAAAAAGTATTTTATTTCTCCTCAATAACATATGAAGAAATTTAATTTCCAGAAGGGATCAGATTCTGATTTAAATTATATGAAAAAGTACAAGCTATGTACATATAAAAATAGTCATTATTAAATGTTAGCAATCGGACTTCATGAGTGATTTTCCTCTCTTTTATTTTTCTTATCATCTAGAATATGTATTATTTTACATTAAAAATTGTTTCTGAGCTTGTTATTCAAAATTTCAATGTATTTTGAACTTAAATTCCTAAGAACAAAAATGATAAGGACATTTTTACCTTTCCAGCCCTTTAAGCAGCCTAATTTTATGGTTTTTTGTACATGTTTTCCTGATAAAACAGTAAACATACAAACTTAGGATGTTGGAATATCTTGACACTTATTTTTCAGAACACTTTCACCAAGAAAGTGTATACTAGTAACTATTTTTTATTTTTTTATTTTTTGCTACTGGGGATGGAACTCAGGTCCTTTGCGCTTGTGCAGCAGGCGGCGAAACCACTGAGCTAAATCCCTGGGCCTATTTCTTTATAGTTTTAAAATTCAAGTTTTGTACACTTTGATCATGTATCATAATGTGAAGACCTGACTACTCTGGGTTTGTTTATTCATTCATTCAGAGAGAATTGTTAAATACTAGTGAATGTGGCAGCTGTTGGGAATATACCTGTAATGAAGTTCTTGCACATACTGAATTAACATTGCAATGGGAAATAAGTAATAATATTAAAATCATACCAGGTGGTAAAAAAAAAAATCATACCAGGTGCTGACAAGAGCCGTACAAATAAATAGTGTAGAGGGGCAGGAATGAGGAAATGGTATTTGAGGTAGGTTGGCGAGTTAAGATTTCTCTGATTATATGTCTTCTGAGCAGAGACTTACATGGAATGTTAAAGTGTACAATTGAAATCTGTCATTAACTTTCAAGTTTCTTTTCCAGTAGTTTTAACTTCTCCCACTCCCAACTTATTTCACCACTGACATCAAAAAGATTCTAGTGAAGTATACTTTTCACCTTTTTCCTCCTTTGACCTTCCTCTGTCTTGCTTACCAGAGTAGAAAGATACCAAAGAAATCAAATAACTATGAGTAAAGCAAAAAGCTTAGCGGAAAAAAAACTAAGCTCTTAGATATCTGAACTATAAATAGTAAGAAACTAGATAAGTGTTCTTTAAGGTTACTTAATTTTAAAATGAAAGATGTTAGGAAGTAAAAGAGAAAGGATTTAATGTGTCCATTTTCTCAGAAAAATTAATAATGTAAGATTGGTCAGTGTATTTGTGACATAAGGACTTTAAGAGTGAGTTAGGACCATCGTGTTAAATATGTAATAAATACTGCTGTATCTTCAGACATGAACTGCAAGTATGTAGTTTCATGCTGTCATTCATTAGTAAGCTTATCTGCTAAATAGAGCTAACATTTGTAACTTTATAGTTTACAGAGTACTTTCTTAGGCTTTTTGAATAGGGCAGGATCATTATTCTCATTTTCCAACAACAGACAGGCTTACAAAGATTGTTTTACCTCAGGTCACACAGCTAACAAGTGACTGAGATCCAAACCTAGGTTTTCTGGTTCTAAATCCTGGGCACTCTTTTATGCCACACAGTTATATAACATGCCAAATTAATCTTAGGAGATCAACCACTCGTAATAGTTTCACACAGAATCAAAATTTTTGTCCTTATAGTATACTAAAACCATTCCATAAAATAAGCAATAGTGGAAAAAACCTATTAGATGAGTTAATTACTTTTCATATTAAGGCAGTTTCCAAATAAAAAATGTAATCAGCCATTTTCATCACTGCTTTTCTTATGTCCCACGATATGTCAGTGAATCTGGTAACGATCATGTTCCTAGCAGTATGCTACTCGGATTTCCCTGATGAGTGTGTTTGCCAATTTTGAGTCATAATTTTCTTGTTTTTATCCACAAATAATAACTTATAACATTAGGTTGCAGCCTGCAACTTTACTAAAAATCAGTAATATAGGCAGCTTTCTCATAGGCCCGCTGATTGAAAGGTGTGGCACAAAACAGCACGGCTGTGTGTCTGCTCCCTGGTGAGGTTATTTTTTATTGCAGTCTCCGCCCATCTGCCTTCTGGCCTGGCGCAGGGTGAACAGAAAGACTGTCTCCCAAGAGGCGCTCTTTCTGTTTGTTCTGTAGCCCCTCCCAGGAATTCCCATTCTCTTGTTCACAGAGGAGCCTCGATTGTGGATTATAAGAAATGTCCTCTGTAAGATAGGATTTATTTCACATCTGTCAGTTTACAAGTGACTCCGGAAATGCTGGCAAGGAAAAGGCAGATATTTTAAGAAAGAAAAGGACAGCCATGTTTCTTCGGTATACTATGACAATTATAATCTATAAAACTACATTAAAGTAATTTATCTTTACTCAAGTGACAGAATAGTACACTATTATTACAGACTTTAAAAAAAGATTACTGGGGCCAGGGATTTAGCTCAGTGGTTCCGCCGCCTGCCTCGCAAGGGCAAGGTCCCGAGTTCAATCCCTGGTACCAAAAAAAAAACAAACCAATTACTATTTTTAAGAACACTTCTTTTCAAAGGTACTTTAAAAAATCCAAGTGCAAGAAGAAACCAAGAATCTACCTAGCTGGAATGTTGATTTCAGCAAATCACAATGGTTCCCTGCCTCTATCATTAAAAGATACTAATAGGGCATAGTTAGTCCTATAATTTATTCTTCAAACAATGCTGATAGCATAAGTACCCTGACTAATCATAATTATGCTCTAGTGCTTGAGCTGTAAACAGAAAGGAAATGAAGCATTTAACTATATGCCATTAAATAATAGAATGATCTTGTCGGAGTCTTTGTGTTATTTACTAGAGATTGAAACCCTGCAGGAATCAAAATAGGAGCCACAGTGGGTGGCTAATTTTATCTTAGTTCTTCAAAGCTATATAATAACTCCTCATGATGGGATTCCCCCTCCCTCCAAGAGCCTTATTTATAGGCATTAATTAATTAGAACTTAATAGTTGATGTAATGATTATAAATCTAATTTTAGTTGCTATAGGTCACTGTGGTCATGTATTTTCATTTCAAAATTGAAAAAATCTTTGATGACAAAAGAAAAGCACTGCCAATTTATAAAGATGTAATGTTAAGTAATTATGCAAATGAATGGCAGAAATAGACTAAATTTCCCATGTTGAGCCCTATTCTTGTAATTTAACAAGTATTTATTTAATCACAATTATTAGCCCTCCCACTAGAGGATACTTCTTTTGCCTTAGTGGATTTGTTCCACTGAGTTAAAAGACCCCAATTGTAAGCTGCTTTATAAATATTGAGAATATGCAAAAAGTTTAAAAAGATACAAATTTTCAGTTGGGAGGAATAAGTTCAAAAGATCTATTGTACAACATGGTGACTACAATTACCAATATATTGTATTCTTGAAAATTGCTAATAGTAGATTATAAGTATTCTCATCACAAAAAAATAAGTATGTGAGGAAATACGTATGTTATTAGCTGAATTTAGCCATTCTACACTGTGTAGATATTTCAGAGCAGCATGTACATGATAAATATATAATTTTGTCAATTAAATGTAAATTGATTAATTTTAAAAGCAATGAAGTTAAAAATGAATCTTTAAAGTGTTTGCATGGGAAGGGGAACAAGGGAGGAGGGAGGGAGGAAGAAAGGGACAAGAAAAGTGAAAATAGAAGGAAAAAATGGAAACAAAGCTTTTGTACATAGGGAGAGGAGGGGGCTTGAGGGGGAAATGGGATAAAATAAAATTAATTTTTTAAAAGTGAATCTTTAAAAATTGATTGATAATTAGATATAAAATGCTGTGTGTTAACAAAATATCATTTTACCACATCTGAGACCTTTGGCATTCACTGATGTGTTAATTCCATTCAGTAAATATTTCAGATTCGCTCAACACTGTGCTTGAGGCTGGTTATAAAATGATGCCTTCAAATGGGAAGAAAACGTTCAGAAGAGAAGGGGAACAAAGGAGGAGGAGGAGCAAAGGATGGGACAAGGAAAAAAAAGAATAGAAGAAAAAGAAACAAAGCTTTTGTAAATAAGGGGAGGGAAGGGGGGGCCAAGTGGGGTGTGGGGAAAAAGCAAGATATATCATGCACAGATACAAATTCCCTATGCTGAATGTTATCATTATGTATATCTAAAATGTACCAATAAAGGGTTTGCTTCAAAAGAAAAATGATGCCTTCAAGGAACTTAGGGTTTGTCAAGGTGGCACTAATATGGAACAAAGTACCGTGGCAGTCCATAGAAGTACTGCAAGAGATTGGCCTTAAATAGCAGGCAAGATTCAGGTAAGAAAGGAAAGATTTCAAGAAGTTAGAAGGTAATGGTGTGATCAGCATGTAGAGCTAGTAATTATGAACATGGTGTTTGGTGTAACTATGATACTAAACTGGCTGATGGGACCTTTACTTCACGGAATAGTAAGAGATGATGTAGATAAACAAGAGACCAGTTCTGGAGACAGGGCTGTGCATGCCAATAAAAAAGATTTTGTAGCTACTCCTGTGGGCAGTGAGAACTGAGAGAAAATGTTAACTTTTGATTTTTTACTTTTGGTATTACAATTTGTTAGCAGTGAACAAAATGGATGAAGAGAATAATTGGGAAAACTCAAAAAATATGTTAGTAAACATATTAAGTAATCTAATTTTGAGACTAATAGTAGTAGAAATCAAGAGGAGACAATTTAAAAATTCCTGCAAAAGAAGAAAGTAGGTGCAACCATGCCCTTTATGTGCTGGGAATGTGTCCCAAGGCCTCCAATAGAACCCTAAAACCATTGCTAGTATTGAACCCTGAATGTGCTGCTTTATCTGTACATACCTATATAGTGAAGATAAAGTTTAATTTATAAATTAGGCACAGTAAAATAATAATAGAATAACAATGTACTGTAATCAAATTTATGGGCATATGTTTTTCTTTTTCTTTCAAAATAGCTTACTATATTCACTCTTACTATTGACCTTGTGTAACTGATCCTGCAGTAAACAAAAACAAAGAATAAGGGTGTACTACTGTATTTGATGACTGGCCAGCTGTAGGTAATAAAAACTGTTGCTCAAATTTGCATTAAGCTTTTAATTTAATTTTTTTTTTTTTGGTACTGGGAATTGAACTCGGGTCCTTGTGCTTGCACAGCAGGCGGCAAAACCACTGAGCTAAATCCCCGGCCCTGCTTTTAATTTAATTTTAATTTTTTAATCTAACTAGCTAGCTATTTTGCAGTGCTAGAGATTGAACCCAGGGGCTCTACCACTGACCTACAGCCCCAGCCATTTTCTTTTTCTTTTTTTTTTTTTTTTGAGACAGAATCTTGCTAAATTGCCTAGGTGGGACTCAAATTTGCAATCTTCCTGCCTCAGGCTCCCTCAGTGCTGGGATTACAGGCATGTGCCACCATGCCAGGACCTTAAGCTCTTAAAACAATCAGAATTCAGGCCAGGGAAATAGTTCAGCAGCGCAGTGCTGCCCCTTAAGCACAAGGTCCTGAGGTCCATCCTGGTACCAGAAAAGGGGGGGGGGAGCAGAATTCATTATGTAATGATTATGTGCTGGGAAAGTAAATTTCCAGAAAAAAGAATAGAAGAGGCTTTGAGTAGATTATGGAAGTATAGCTGTGAGTTGTCAAAGGAAACACCTTTGCCCTGTATTTTGACTGCTAAATCAAATATCTTTAGTAATCAGACTGAAAACTCAAGATATTTCCAAAATACACACTCTATTTACAAATTGAGTGCTGATCAGGTATAGACTACCTTTCTCTTTGAGATGGACCATCTAATGAGAAGTGTAGCTATATAAGAATAGTTATCAAAAGTGCTGCGTTTCACTTAGAATGTGAAACCTTATGAAATATCAAAGAAAACCACTAAGAACTATAAAGCTAGGATATTTAACTTAGAAATCAGTGAAAGGAATTTATGAAATTTTATGTAATCAAATATGTTTTAACCTCCCATTAGGAGATATTATAGACTTCTGCATGTGCTTAGCTGGAAAAAAAATTAAATCTTTTTAAAAGTGAGTTTTAATTGAGATCAAGGTGAACTTCTAAAGATTATATAATCTAATTACATAACTTTAACAGTCATGTTCCTGTCTGAACTTACGTATCCTGAGTAGGTAAGCAAATATATTTTCCTACCTGTGTCACTCTATCTTAACGTAAGTTGAGAAGCTTAATCTTTACTCTTTTTTTCACATGATTGCATCTCTCCTTGTGATTGTGTCTCTTCATTTTTTAATCTTTTTATCTCAGCTTCAGATTAAGTGCTTTAGATTGGATAATTTTGGAACCCATTGCCAAAAAATGTGCCTGGAAACTGAATTGTTTAATCCCCATCTCTAGGTTGCCCTGATCAGCCCCAGACCAGTCTACCAACCCTTACTTCTTCCAGGTGACTTCTAGAAGTTTGACCCAACCCACTTATCTTCTTCCAAGGAAATGTCTTATGCAGTGAGTGGCTTGATTCTAGAGTCATCATGTATATTCACAAAAAAAAAATCTCTTAAGTCACCCACAAACCACAGCACACATACTTTGTGTTGGACCGTTTCTCATCTAACACAGCCTGCTTTTTTTTCTTGAGCATTGTTATTCCTCAGTCAACATGTGAAGTAATTAGTTTATTCTTGGGAACATGGTATGTGAGAAAGAAAATGAGGCTTCTCTTTTCCCAAGAAGGTGTATTTGAATTTGCAATAGTTAAATATACATTTACGAGATTCTATTCTATTCCCCTACCAAGCATTTCCTAGAACTCAATTTTCTATGCCTATTTCTTTAGCAATGTTTCTAGTCTTCACTGTATATAACCACTCCCTTTCATCCCTATCAAACGGAAGTTACTCCTTTTCCCATATCCTAGATACTACATAAGCAAAAGAAGGTGGGACAGCAAACTTTGTCCTCATAGCTACCTTGTTCCACTGCTAGGCCCTTACTCTCTGCTCTGGTGTTAACAACTACTTTGAAATTCATACCTTCTGACTAGTCTGGTGATCCTCATTGCTGTCATCTTCTAGACATTTCCCCTTGTTCATCAAAGACTTTAATGTCCAGCTCTCTTGTCATATTTATTTCCAATTTTACCATTCTCTTGTTTGCTCTCAGCATCCTCGGGAACTACCCATCAAATTCTCTGCCCTCTTGATTCCTTGGCCTCTTCATTTCCCATGATGTATTTACTTCCTTCCAGCCATGACTCCTATGGCCACATCCTAGACCTAGCCATCTGGGAAATATTAAACTCAACAATTCACTATCTGACTTACTCCAAACTTCCAACTGCACTTAATTCTAGGACTTCACAGGGATCTCCAGTCTCTGACCTTCTTACTTTCTGTCATTCCTCTTCCACCTTTGCTTCTTTCCTATACAGTGTGGGCTCCATCTCTCCAGTGCTCACTCTTAGGTCCTTGTTTATCCTCTCTCCTCAGTCCTCCCTCTGTCATCTGACATCTGCCTTACCATTCCCATGAAGCTGCTCCTCCATGGGTACAAACATCCCTCTTGCTGCTATTACTACTTTAAAATTTAGATCATTACCAGATATTTTACTTTGAAAACTCTGAACTTTGAAACTCTGCCCCTTTTGGGGGACTAATCACAGCCCCTGGGTAGTAAAAATTATTTAGCTTTTACTACAAATAATTTTAGAGTTGATTGTTGTTTTATAAAGTAGATATTTTCTATAGTAAATTTTTCTTCCTTTCTAGCTTTATTGCTAAAATTTACTTTTCCACAACTAGGCTAATGTGGATATTTGATACTATTTACATTAATTTGCAGCATGTTATAATTAAGCATAGAAAATGTTGTGTACATATTTATATATTTATATAATTATTTTAAAATCAATATTTTTGTTTTGCAGTTGAAGCTTTATATCAAACTACATACCCAGAATATCTTCAGTACATATATTTGGTGGCACCAATATCTCTTATGATGTTAAACCCTATAGGGTTTATCTTCTGTGAAATCCAGAAGTGGAAAGACACTCAAAATGCTTCTCAAAACAAGATAAAAATTGTGGGACTTGGATTTCTGCGTGTCTTACAGAACCCAATAGTATTTATGGTCTTCATTGGTATTGCCTTCAATTTTATTCTTGATAAAAAGGTGCCTGTATATATGGAAAATTTTCTCGATGGACTTGGAAATTCTTTTTCTGGATCAGCCCTGTTTTATCTTGGTCTTACAATGGTAGGAAAAATAAAGAGACTGAAGAAGTCAGCGTTTGTCGTACTAATTCTTCTCATCACAGCTAAACTGTAAGTTTTGATTAACACGGGAATTGTAGTTTGTAGAAACCTCATTTAGCCAACTCATGTAGTGTATCTGCAAGAGTTTGAATATTAGACCTTCCTTATAGGTTAGTTGTGATTTATAGGAAAATGGGATGTTGATGGATTGCAGAAAATCTTTTCCATATAAATTATTTCATTTTACCATCAGAGGATAAAGGCCATCAGTTTCCCTTCACTTTTTTTCTCTTTTTACCTAACTTTTATACAGTTTCTTGAGTATCTCCTAATGTCTCAGATCATATTTTAAAGGAATTTTGCAGCAAATTTTCCAGCATATTTAAATCCATTTAAAACTTAGTCAAAAACATCTTGGTCATATGAGAAAAATACTTTTTTAAAAATAAAAGATTTATGTGAAGGTGGCAAAAGGGGAAAAAAAGAGCTACTCTGAATGAGTAGTGTTCAAAAGGGAAATACTTGAGAAAAATGCTTTTTAATATAAACTTTTTTTCATGGATTTGGGGAAAATATTTTGCAATTTTGCCTTTGGTTGAACTTCCTATAGGTAAGTCAATATGAATGTTATTAGACATCTGATCCTAACCTGTCCAAAAGTTCTTTATAGCTCCTTAGTTAATAGTTTTACAGGTTACTTGGCTCCTTAGCCCTGAGGATATACTTCTTAGTGTAAGTGACATAATTTTACTGCAGTATTAATCCAGCTCTTTTATAGGTCAATTTATGGAATCATATGCAATAGTATATCTATTTATATTTCCAAAATAAATAAATATATGAGTTCTGAAAATTGTGGTGCTGTTATATTCGTCAGAAACAAAATACTAATTACTATTGCCAAGGTAATATAGTTCTAACAATAATGGTATTATGAACTTCAACTTATAAGTAGAATTAGTTATTCAAATTTTTTTTCAGCCTTTGTTTCTTATCAGATATTTAATTTAGTTTTTAGAGTTTGTTGGGCTTTTTTTGTTTGTTTGTTTTGAGACAGTCTCACTATGTAGTTCGCACTGGCCTTGAATTCACTATGTAGTTCAGGCTGGCCTTGAACGCACAGTGACCCTCCTGCCTCAGCCTCCCAAGTGCTGGGATTACAAGCGTGCACCTCCGCTGGGCCATTTAGTTCTTTTTTAAATGAAAAATGTACATATAGGAGTACTTGTTGCCCCCACCCCAGGGCATCTGTAGGTGCTGCTGTGAGGAGGTATCTGCACAATCTGGATAGTTTCAAAGGAAAGCTGCATTAGGTCTGCACTGGTGTTGTGCTTTTTCTGTGGAATCTTGAATAATTTGTCTAATAGTTGGCTCTTAACTGGATCTGGGTTTCACTAATTTTCTGTTCCACCTTTGTTGTTCCAGTTCCCTTTGCTAAACCTTTTTTTTTTTACTTACGATAAAGAACAAAGTATAAGATACCTATTTTTCTACTGGTTTTTAGAATTTTCTTCAGCCATATTGTTATTAAATCTTGAATCAAAGTAAAAATTTTAAAGTGTTTAGTTTTCTTAAAGAAGTTCTTTAAGAAGCTTGTTTTCTCTCAACACTTCAGTGAACCAATAGAGGAAGCAAGAAAACAGCTATAATTACAACTTTTACCTTTTTTTTTTTTTTTTT